GCAGTTTGGGATCCGCAGCCCCTTGTATTGCCAGCGCTGAAGAACAGGGTGGCTCTGCCCGGACAGCCTGAGCCCCAGTTTGAGGGACCCACCCCACCACGAGGTGCCGTTCTCCGCACAAACCAACAGCATTTATATCCTGCCTGAGTCCAGCAGCGACTCCATGAGACCTGCGCCAAGCAGCCAAGCTACTCAGCCCCTCTCCAAGCTGTGGCTGGCCTTACCTTGCTCTGCCGGCTGCCAGGTCCCTGTCTCCTGCAGTAGGCCCTCCTGCCGCACTGCACCTGGTACCCAGGGACAGACAATAACCACAGAGAATTCCCTCTTATCTCCTCTCAAGGCCTGGCCAGCCCCTGGCACAGGGCTGCAGGGGCAGCCAGTCAGAGCAGAGTGCTAAGGCGTGGGGCGTACCTCTGCTAGGTTTGTAATCCAGGGCGACATCCTTGGAGCCCCGTCCTGCCCCCAGACTGAGCCTAGCCTGGCTATGGGAGTAGAGCAGCTGCCCCCAGCCAAGTCATCCTGGGCCAGATTCTCTGCTGGTGTAAACTGGCCCAGCTTCACTGAAGTCCAGTGTCCATCCGGAGAGAATGGGAATGACAGATCTTAAAGTACCGTCATGCTTAAACCCACTGGTCCCCACTCCCAGCCCAGAGCCAGGGCGAGAACCCAGGAGTCCTGGCTCCCAGCCCCTCCCCCAGTAACCACTACATTCCATCCGCTGGTCTCAGGGTTGCATGGGGGGGGGTGGGAATCTGTCACTGCCCCCACTGTGGGGGGACAGACTCCTAGCCTTTCCCATTGGCTTGTCCCGCCACAGCCAGCTCTCCGCCCCTCCCCTCCCCTCTCCTTCCTCACTCCACCACCACCACCCCCCGTCTCCCCCCCCCACCTGCCTGGGACCTTATCACAAAGTGTCCTTTGGTTCCCTCCTGGCCCATCCACTTCACCCTCCAACGTGGCACTGAAACAGCCTGGCCTGGTCAGAGTCCACCAGGCCCAGCTCACAGGAGCGGCCGGCGCAGTGCCAAGGCTGCGGCATTATGGCCACATCGAGGCAGCAAGGAGCAGGGATGGCTGATCCTGGCCCCCACCTTCGTGGCCTGTGTCACTGGCCAGGCACAACATGCGGGCTGAGGCCCCATCCATTTCACTCGATTGCAGATGTTTTGGGGTCCCCCAAGCTCAGGGCCCTGGTACAAGTGTCTCCTCCTTCCCCCATTAGCCCTGGCCACCCCTCTCCTGCCGCAGCGCTGGCCCTGCCTTATCACAGACTGTCTGACCCAGCGCTGAGTCTCACTTTGTGACCCCAGTGGGGCCGGGGCACTCAGCACACTCCACCCCCAGCCTGGAGCAGGGATACAGGGCTTTACCCGCCAGTAACCTCCCCGCGCCGCCCACTCAGCTCACGGGGGAGTCACGGCTGGGCCATGTTCTCCAGGCTCAGTGGGTCAAAGTGCTGCAGCAGGGAGGAGCAAGGCCGGCTGGCTCTGGGGAGCTGGGCTGAGCCGGCAGTGCAGGGAGAGATACAGGCAGGGGGCGGGCTGCACAGCTGCCCTGTGCCCCTCTCACTTCCCTTTCCCGGCTCCGCCAAGAGGGGCAAGGCTGGCTGGTTACACAACCGGCGACAGGATGTAGTTACTGGAGGGTGCATGGGGTGACTGCTCTCCTGTCAGCAGCATGTTTCCGCAGCCCTCCCAGAGGTTCTCCCACCCGCTGCCTCCTTGGCATTCCTGTCTGCGCCGGACAATCTGTACCAAGGCAGCGCAGCCCAGCGTGGTACAGGGCCAGGGGTGCTAGTGCCATTGCGGCTTTGCCTGCTGCTGTGAGAGGCTTGGCCCGAGGGCCAGGACCCTCTGCTGTAATTGGAGCAAACCCCCAGTGCCTTTTTTGAACAGGGTTCAAAACAGAACTAGACACATTCATGGAGGATGGGTCCATCAATGGCTATTAGCCAGGATGGGCAGGGAAGGTGTCCTTAGCCTCTGTTTGCCAGGAGCTGGGAATGGGTGACAGGGGATGGATCACTGGATGTTCCCTGTTCTGTTCATTCCCTCTGGGGCACCTGGCATTGGCCACTGTCGGAAGACAGGACACTGGGCTAGATGGACCCTTGGTCTGACCCAGTGTGGCCATTCTTAGGACTGATAGACCAGAGTGGGGTATGGGAAAAGTGGCTTCTCCTAGTTTCACTGTGGAACTCATTGCCAGAGGATGTGGTTGAGGCCAAAAGCTTGGCTCATTCCCCAGATGGACGAGCTTGCCAGGGTTAGGCTAGCGCAGGGGTTGGCAACCTGTCAGAAGTGATGTGCCGAGTCTTCATTTATTCACTCTCATTTAAGGTTTCACGTGCCAGTCATACATTTTAATGTTTTTAGAAGGTCTCTTTCTAGAAGTCTAGAATATAGAACTAAACTATTGTTGTATGCAAAGTAAATAAGGTTTTTAAAATGTTTAAGAAGCTTCATTTAAAATTAAATTAAAATGCAGAGCCCCCCAGACCGGTGGCCAGGACCTGGCAGTGTGAGTGCCACTGAAAATCGGCTCACGTGCCACGTTCAGCACAGTGCCATAGGTTGCCCCCCCCTGGGCTAGTGCCTTCATTTCAGCAGGAATATAAATCTGCCTATTCCAGGGTCAAGCCGATTTCCAGTGGGGTAAGGATGACACCTGCACTAGGGGCTGAGTATCCCACATAGCTTTTGTGGGGCTTTCACCCTCCTCTGGCCCTGGCATCTCTTGTGGACGTGCTGCCAGGCTAGCTGGATCCTGGTTTCGCTTCTCCAGTACTTGGAGTCTTTAAAAGGGCGAGGGGACGCCAGTCTCTGAGCTGGCTGCGAGAGCAGCTGCAGGGTGGGGATTCTGCAGCCTGGGTTAGCCAGTCCTTTCTGGCTGCGACAGCTGGGAATCCCCACATTTTGTTATGCAAAGGGCTGGATTTTACGTGTGCAGCACCTGATGTGCTGAGACAGCCCTTTGAAAAGTCTGGCCAGGCCTCAGGGCCTGAGGGACAGCCCAGTAAAAAGTCATAACCCCCATTCAACCTAGTCCTGCCTCATGCGGCTTGTCATCGGTGCAGGGCCCGGCAGGGCTGTGTAGTGCCCGGGGCTGCTCTGTACCCTGAGGCTGACTGCTCCCTGACAGCGGGGGCCCTTCCAAAGCAGGTGAGCGGTCAGACACTGGCACCTGCACCGCACTGGGAGAGCATGTGGGGGGCTCTTGGGGTGACCACCAATCAGGCCTGGCATTGGTCAGGGCCAGCTGCTCACACACCTTGCCTCCGCCTCCTCACCCCTCTGCACCCAATTCTGGGGTGAGGACAGGCCACAGCCTCACCTTGTGACAGGAAGGGGAGTTGGAAGCCAATGGGGGGAGATGCAATCGGAGCACCAGGGCAGGTCTTGGGAATGGTCATACACCAAAGCCCTGCCCCTTGTGTTGCCACTTACCCCGCTGCCAAGAACTACTGCCAGGACTTGGGAGAGGAGGCCTGGAGACCGGGGGCCTGGAAGTTCAAGGCAGCAGCGCCGGCTTCCTCACCATTCTGATGGCAAAATGTCTTTGCACCGCTCCTTGCACAATTCTGGGGGGGAGAAGCGGGTGATTCTCTGCTGCATGCAGCAACCTGCACTACGGTGGTACCATTCATGGGGCAGGACTGCAGCACCCCCATCATTCGCTTCAACAGCTGGGGGGGGGGGGGGTTCTAAGCACCTCATGCCAGGAAAAGGGGTTTTGATTAAATAAATTTTAAAAAATTCCTTGTAATAAAATCCTGCCCTGAGCCCATTGTGCAGGGAGCCCAGGCTGCAGGGGGCCTGGTCTCCATGTGCTTCAATCCTCCACCACCAGACTCTCCCTTAAACCTGTGCACCCCTCCATTCCTAGCACTACCTGACTGCCCACTCATGCAACCCATCGGGCTCCGTCCCTTCCCCTCGCCAAGCCTCACCACTCTCAGGGCCAATGTCTGGTCAATGTGGAACTGCCCCAGCCCCAGGAGATGGCGAGAAAGCCCTGTGCCATAGAACAGCCTGGCCTCGGCTACAGACGTGACTGAGAGAAACCCAGGGCTCAATCCCCAATGGCAGCACCTGACCCTTGCTGGAGGGTGGCTCTCACCTGCCCCAACGGAGCCAAGGGTCAGCGCTTTTCGCTCACTAGCAACAGGTGAATCGCTCGCCCTGCCAATAATGCCTCCCAGCCACACCCCTGGGGTGAATGGTCCCATCACACCGACCCCTCTGCTCTCCGCGTTCCTGTGCACCAGCCATATTGCCATGCAGCCCTTGGTACGGCAGCCAGTCCAGACAGGCGCATTGACCCACCAGCGTGAGAACCCCTGCACAGCCCAGGCAGGGCGCTTCCCCCCCGGCTGAACCAGAGCAGATTGTTCACCCGCTGCTGCCATCTGGATTCAGAACCCCCCCAGTTAATTCCTCTCCCCGGAGCCGCCCTGCCAGCGAGCCTGGACAGCCCTCTGCTGCCCAACCCCCTGGCCTCAGCGCAATCGGGGGGGCTCTTCTCCACCCCCTCACTGCTTCGGCCCCACCCTATGGGCAGCGTGAGCACCAGAACTGGACAGGGTGGCCAGTATCAGTCTCATCAACCACCTACCCCTACTCACCAGGCCCCTGTCCCAATGCCTGCATTCACGATGAGCCAGGGTGTGTGCGCTCCCAGATGGGCATCCAGGAGGATCCCTGCCATGGGGCACTGGGGCCAGAAATGCCAGCTTTCGGGCCTCCAAAAAGGACACTGGAGCTGGTCCCCACCCCCTTGGGCTTCCTCTCCTACTACCGCCCCCGAGATCTCAATCCCCCCTCACACTCCCTATCTAGGCTCCCCCCCTTCCCCTCCTCGGGCCCATTTCTCAAGGGGTTGGGGGGGCTCATACGCAGGACTCAGCAACACCCCCCTGCCACCCCCATGGAAGGGAGAGGTCTCCAGCAGTGCTTCACCCCCCCCCCCCTTTCGTGAGACAGAAGCAGTTGAAGATGGTGCCCAGTGCTGGGGGGTTTATTCAGACAGGACATTTCCAACATCATAGGGGGAGGGGGCGGTGTTTTGAGGGTCTCTATAAAAGATCCTTCAGTTCCCATAACTTATAAACATGATTTACATGCAGAGTCTCTAACGGCGGGGCGGAGGAACCCCCAATCCGCTGCTCCTCCAGGTGCTGCTGGGGGGGCTGAGAGGGACCCCCAATCCACTGCTCCTCCTGGTACTGCTGAGATTCCCCAAACCGTTGCTCCTCCTAGTGCTGTTGGGGATCCCCCCCCAATCCGCTGCTCCTCCTGGTGCTGCTGGTGGGGCTGACAGGACCCCTCCCTCAAAGCGCTGGTCTTCCTCAGTGCTGCTGGGTGGGGATGGGATGCAGGCAGGGCCCCCCAAACTACTGCTGCTCCTGTTGGGGGGGGCACAGACCCCCACTCGTGGTGGGTGCAGAGAGCACTCAATAGGTCCCTTGTGTCTCTTTGGATACGTGTAGGCTGAGAGGGGCGAGGTAGGGCTGAGCAGGGGAGCTGGGGTTGTGGCCCCATCACCCCAGGTGTAGACTCTGCCCCACAGCTCCCTGGGCTGTGAGATAAGAGGCTGCAGAGCCACTGGTACCCCAGCGATCCAAGGGAGGGGTGTAATTGGCACAGAGAGAGAGAGGGAATCTCCCCACAGCTGCACCAAGATGGGGTGTGGGGGGCTGTTTGGGGAGGGATCCAACCCCTCCTGGCAGAGAGTTGCGGGGTCAGTGCACCCCCACCAGCTGGGACAATCCATTCCTGAGGGGATCCGCCCAGCCCCGATCCCCAATCAGTGCAACAGGCCAAGCGACCCCACCCCCAGGACAGAGCCGGTCCCTCTCCCATTGCTCCGGGGGAAGGACAGTTCCTGAGGTCACAGCGCCCTCTGGTGAGGAAGGATGTCAGCACAGGGAACCAGGCAGAAGAGGGCATTTTACAGCCGTCACTGGGTTCACCTACCTGGTGCCCCAGGACAGCCCCCAGCCAAGTCCAAGCCACGGGAAGAGATGGGACACTGGGTCCCCTCCCCGAGGCAGGAAGGGTTGCGCCTGCCCTCCCACCAGGAGCTGCTGGAAGAGCCCAGGCACCACCTGAGGGCCCCAGCAGCCGCTGCCCCTGCACCAGCCAGCTCCCCATTTTCCAGCAGCCCCTGGGGACAGCGGGTCGAACCTTGTGGGACCTGTCCCGAGGGGCAGACGAGGTGACTGGAACAGGACAGTGCCAGAACCGCCGCACTAAGGGGCTCGCCCTGGGGATCAGACCCCGGGGCTCTGTCAGGACCTATCCCATGGCCCTCGGGGAGGTGCCTGTGTGGGGCAGAAAAGGGGCTGGAGCCCCACACTCCAGGGCTTAACTGGGCAGCACCAGCAGGGATGGGTGGGGCAAAGGGTCCCAGAGCGGCTCAAACCGCCCGGCAGACTGGGCTGGGGACACTGGAATGGGGGAGGAGGGCTGGTGGAAGAGGAGGAGAGGGCTCTAGCCAATGGTGAGGCCGAAGCCACACTGGAACTTGTTCTTGCGGTGGTTCAGGAAGGCCCCCATGGCCAGCGTCAGGGGCAGCGGCAGCAGCTTCTTCTCCAGCACCGCACCCACGATCCAATTACTGTCCACAGAGCCTGCGGCAGAGAGCAACGTTAGTGGCACTGGGAGAGGCTGGGGCGCGGGCACAGAGGGGAAGGGCGGCCTGGGGCTGCCGTACCTTTGAAGAGCAGGTTGGCCTTGGGCAAGTCAAGCTGGTAGCCAAAGGAGACGCTAGTGTCCTGCATGCGTGTGCTGGCCTCAAACTCCACGCCCACCTGCAGCTGTGGGAAGCAGGGTTAGTCTGGCGAGCAGAGCTGCCAATCGCCCAGTAGGATCCCAGCCCCCCAGCTTCCACCCCTCCCCCACAGGACCCCAGCCCCCTAGCTTCCACCCCTCCCCCACAGGACCCCAGCCCCCTGGCTTCCACCCTCCCAATGTGATCCCACCCTCCCCAAACACTATCCCAGACCACCCACCCCCAACGTAATCCCAGCCCTCACCACCCAAACCCAGCCCCCAGCCTTCCCCAATGGGATGGCAGCCTCCAGGCTTGCTGCTCCAAATTGTCTGCATCGACTGTTCCTGGGCAGGGCACCCCCCCACTCGCTTGCCTGCCCAGGCTCTCAGCTGTGCACCACAGCACATCGCTTATACATAGCTCTCCACACGTCACCTGCCCCCACCCCTTGCTCCCAGACTGGGGGCCAAAGCCCCACGCTCATGTCAAAGGGGGAGCCAGATGGGAACGTAAGCCTCTGAGTGCCACATACCTGGTCATTGGCTTTATGGTAGTAGGTTGCATGGGCCCCGGCTTGCCCCACCGTCAAGGTCCCAATCCAGTTAGGTGCTGTGTGGAGAAGGGAAGAGTGTGTGAGTGTCCAAGTAGGGCCCCACCGAAGCCCTGAGCTAGGGAAGGGAACCCAGGAGTCTCGACTCCCAGTCCCCTTGCTCTAACCCACTAGACCCCACTCCCCTGCTGGAGCTCAGGATATAACCCAGGAGTCCTTCCCCAGCTCCCTCAGTACCTGTGTATTTCCCAGCCAGAGACATGACGGTGCCCTCCTCTCCTGGCCGGCGGTGATAGACCAGCTCGCCGCCCAGCGCCAGGCAGGGTGTGATGCTCTGTAGGTAATGGGCTACCAGGATCCCTGCGAAGAGAGACTCGTCAGCTGGGGCTGGGCCCAGGAGGTTATGAGGGGCAGGGTTCAGACTAGTGGTGACGGTAGGCAGGGGCCAGGTTGGAGAGCTGGAGGGAGGGGAAGTGGAGGTGTCAGAGGCTGGGAATTGAGAAGGGGAGGCAGGAGTCAAGCTGGTGGGGGACTTCAGAGACGGGGTAGAATTTCAGAGCAGGAGCTTCAGAGGTGGGAACGAGGCTTTCACCTGAGCCCACCAGGATGTCGGGGTTTCCCAGCGTCACTGCTGCCGTGAAATCCTCCCCCCGATACTCTCCATCCACATGCCAGTTCACGAACTTGGACTGCTGCGTCTGGAATGAGAGTGGGGGGACATGATGAGACCGTGGCAACCCCCAGGAGGCACACATCCCCCAGAGGCAGATTTACCATGAAAGAAACAGTGCGGTGGCATGGGGCCCCCAATGACTGGGGGGTGGGGGGGGACACCCAAAATGCAGGACAAACCTCATCGACAACCTGCCCCCGAGGCCTGGCCGGCAGCACAGCAGGGATCAGGCAGGCTGCCTGCATTCAGTGGCCAGTGGCCCCATGCCGCTCCCGGAAGCACCCGGCTGCTGGAAGCAGCTCTGCGTCCTGCCCCCACCAGCACACAGAGAGCCACTCCCCCCCCCACCCCCAGGGGTGCGCAGAGATGTGCCACCAACAGTGCAGCAGGGCTAAGGCACCTCCCTGTTCGCGCTGCCTCCCTCCCCTGCGGCCTCTGGGGGAAAGGTGGGTGGTGTCTCTGTGCATTGTCCCCACCCGGAGCACTGACTCCACAGCTCCCATTGGCCAGGAACTGCGGCCAATGGGAGCTGCGGGGGCCACACCTGCGGGCAGTGGCGCACAGAGATTCCCCTGGCCCCCCTGCCAGAGGAGTGTGCCAGTCACTTTGGGAGCCGCACCGCCCAAGGTAAGCGCCGCCCCACCGACCCCTCCCACACCCCAACTCCCTGCCCCGAGCCCACACCCAAACTCCCTCTCAGAGCCCAATCCCCACATCCCAACCCACTGCCCCAATCAAGGTACCTCACTTGATTTTCATTTACTTCCTATTAGTTATAATATAGGAGAAGGATGAAGAAAAAAATAAATGAAAAATAGAGGGGATATAAGAGAGAATGTTCTTTCTCTTGGCTGGGTCCCGAGGTGGGGCCCCTCAAAATGAAGCTGTGCACAGGGCCCCACTGACTCTAAATCTGCCACTGACATCCCCGCTCCTTTTACCAGGTAACACCACTACCTTAAACTGTGAGGGAGCAGCCACACTGCACTCACTCCCCTCCCCAGCCAGGACTCTGACGACTCTGACAGGGGTATACACAGACGCTCTGATCCCCCCCCCCGAAAGGGACAAGCTGAGAGACGGATCTGCGGGGGGTATACACAGACGCTCTCGACCCCCCCCACCCCGCCGCAAACGGGACGGGCTGAGAGATGGACCTGCAGGGGCCGGGGGTATACACAGACACTCTGACACCCCCACCAGCCCGGCCCCCACAAAGGGGAGGGTGGATAGAAGGACCCACGGGGGATGGGGGGGGAAAATACACAGATGCTCTGACACACACACCCGTGAAGGGGCGGGTTGAGAGATGGACCTGCGGGGGGTATACACAGACACTCTGATCCCCCCACTCCGCAAAGGGACGGGCTGAGATGGACCTGCAGGTGGGGGGAAGGATACATAGACGCTCTGACACACACCCACACACACACCCTCTGTGACGCAGGAGGGAGCGGAGTGGATTGACCTGGGAATGTCTTTTAGTTTTACTGGGATTGTCTGCATGGGTGATGGGAGAGCAGGGAGTGACTTTAGGTGAGGGACGGTACCTGAGCCTGTAACCTGAGGAGGCGGGGGAGTGGACACCTTTGCCTGGGAAGCTGGACAAAGGGAAAGGGTGAGAGAAGAAGGGGGAGAGTCTGCTGGAGGGGTTTTTGGTTTCAGTTTTGTGCTGGCTGGGAAGAGGCAGGGAACCCCAAGTCTGGGGTCTACGCTCCTTGCCCCCGAGAGGGACCTGGCTGAGGGGTCCTGGTTGTACCTACAATCCCTGCTTGGGACTGTGTTCCTGTCATCTAATAAACCTTCTGTGTTACTGGCTGGCTGAGAGTCCCGGGGAATCGCAGGAAGGGGGGGTGCAGGGCCCTGACTCCCCCACACTCCGTGACACCCCCATGAAGGGGAAGGCTGAGGGAAAGACCTGCATGGGGGGGCTGGGGAAAGAGAAGACTACACAGATGCTCTGACACACACAAACCCATATGCACCCCACAAAGGGGCAGACTGAGATAAGGACCCATGGGGGCGGGGGGGAGAGAAGAGAATACACAGATGCTCTGACACACGGGCGAGCTGAGAGAAGGACCCGAGGGGTGTGGGTGTGTATTCGGGGGGGGAGGGGACACACAGATGCTCTGACACACACACAGCCATGAAGGGGAGGACTGAGAGAAGGACCCGAGGGGGCGGGGAGAAGAGAACACACAGATGCTCTGACACATGGGCGAGCTGAGAGAAGGACCCGCGGTGTGCGGCATACCTGGAAGGCCACCTTGGAGCGCAGCCGGGTCGAGAGCTGGTGGATGATCTGGGCATTGAGGCTGCCACTGTTATCCATGTCGCCCACCAGCACCGGGAAGGCCTGGAAGGGGCATGAGGGGGTGAAATATAGTTGAACAACAGCCCCACCCCATATCAGGGCAACAGCATCCCTCTGCCCCACCCCCACCCAGAGCAGCCTGCCTCGCCCCAAACTTCCCCACTGTCTGAATTGACAGCCCCAACCCCAACGTCCAGATTAACAACTCTCTCCCCAAACACACACTGCCCCTCTCCCACCATCAGAGGTGGCTCCTCAGCGCTGGCTTCCGGCCGGCTAAGTCCACTCCCCCCCCACACTCACCTCTGTGGGGCTGAGCTGCTTGGTGCCCACGTAGGTGACCCCGAAGTGATAGCTGGAGTCACCAACAGTGCTGAGGGCGACGCTGTGATTCACCTGGGGAAAGCAGGCGGAGTAAGCAGGGCCCACCAAATCCTTGGCAGGGGTTACACTAGACTACTGGTTCTCAACCAGGGATCTGGGACCCACTGGGGGACCGTGAGCAGGTTTCAGGGTGTCCACCAAGCAGGGCTGGCATTGGACTTGTGGGGGCCCAGGACAGAGAGCCGAAGCCCGAGCTAATTAGCTTCATGGGGTCCCCATGGCATGGGACCCAGGACAATTGCCCGGCTTGCTACCCCCAACACTGGCCCTGGCTTTTATATACAGAAAATCAGTGGTTGTGGCATAGACGGGCCATGGAATTTTTATAGCCTGTTGGGGGGCCTCAGAAAGAAAACGGTTGAGAACCCCTGCACTAGACCACACTTGCGGTCCCTTCTAGCCCCATGGTTCTATGCCTGCAGCCAGAGGGGAAGGGCAGCCCAGGGGCGCTGGCATGGGAGACCCAGGTTCAGGTACCTAAAGTGACTGCATCTCTCTGGGCCTTGGCTCCCATCTCACATGCGGCCAGTCACCTTGCCTGCCTCCCAGGAAGCATGGGGATGAATGCATTAGACTGCAAGGGGTCAGATATAGGGATGAAGGGCGCCAGATAAGTACCTCACACAGAAAGCACCAACCCACAACCTCACCCAGCCCCAGACACGACACATGGGATCGGTAGGTTTGGGGTCACGTGCCCCCACATTTACTGCTTGGCTTGTAGAGAATGCTCAGTAACATTGCTGAAGCCAGCTGCCCTCAATCTGCACCCCTGCCCCCCCAGCAGACATGTCTGTGCCCAGCCCGCTCAGCCCCCACATCCTCCTCGACTATAGCCTCACCCCCCTCCACCCCGTACCCTGCTTCACCAGAGGGCACAGCCCTTACCTGGAAATGGTTGCTAAGACCTTTATTCACTGTCAGTTTCACACCTTCCATCTGGATGGGGAACAATTCTGGGGAAGAGACTGCAACAATCAGCACTGAGCCCGTCCAGCCCAGCGTGCCTTCACCCCATGGGTCCCTCCAGCCTGCTGGTAACTCCCTTCCCCCAATAAGACCCCTGGGCTGTCCAGCCTGGTACCCTCCCCGCTCCCCCAGGGACCTGCCCACCTGGCTGTGTACTGGGGTGCCCCATGCTGTGCTCCCAACCTCTGCACTTGGGGTAACATTCCTTGAAGGTGCCAGGACAGAGGGGTGGGTGGGTGGGTGTGTAGACAGTGGGTTCCAGGCTTTCACCTTTGCACTTGCGGTGACATTCCTCAAAGGTGCCAGGGTTGGGTAGCCGATCCCCCTTCTCCTCCGGCCGCTCCTGCGCAGGGGGGCCCAGCCCGCTGACGGGGGGCATGGTGAAGCCAGGCGGCACTGACACCAGCCCAGATCCAGGACTCGGCATGGTGGGGGAGGGTGTGGGAGAGCTGGCGGCCAGGACGTTACCCATGGTGGGGGGCTATGGAGAGAACAGATAGCAGTGTTGAGAAGGGGTGAGCAGCGCCAGATACCTCCCAATATACCCCCCATGCCCTGAATACCCCACATTCCATACTACCCCATCTGTCCACCCCAAACTGATACCTCCTCCAGTCTGCCCGGATACTGGTCTCCAATAGACCCCATGTATCCCCAGATCCATCTGCCCCCCACCCCTCCAGTGACCCCCCCACCCTCCAATATTCCCTCCTGAGACTGTCAACCTCAATACCCCCTCTCCAAACAGCCTGGCCCCCAAACTCCTGGTACATCTGCCACAATACCCCTCTTGACACTGGCTTCCCACGGTCCACATCACCCACCCTGCCCCCAATGGGGTCTGACTATTGCAACACCCCAATACCACCCATTTGTGTATCTACCACACCAACAGCCCATCCCATCTGATGCCCCCGGTGTGTCCCAACACTTCCTGCTCCCCAGACACCTGCCACTGCCAGGGTCCCCCTGCCTCAGCAGTGACCCCACCTGCCCTGCCCCCCTCGATCCCCCGATGCCCCCTGCCCCGCTCGATCCCCCCGCCCCCAGTTCACAGGCCCCGCGCCCCTCGATCCCCCCCCGCCCCGAGTACACCCGCCCCGCGCCCCTCGATCCCCCCCGCCCCCAGTTCACCCGCCCCGCCCCCCTCGATCCCACCCCGCCCCCAGTTCACCCGCCCCGCGCCCCTCGATCCCACCCCGCCCCTCGGCCCCCCATGGACGCTCCTCCCCCCCCCCATCGGCCCCCTCCGGTACCTTCCCGGGGGGCCTCTTATCCCTCCAGCGATACCCGCCAGCCCCGCCTGGCCCCAGACTCACGAGGCGGCCGCAGCAGCAGCCGGAGCCGGGAGACACCCGAACCCGCCTGCACCGCTGCCTCCGCTCTGCCCCGCCCCCTCCACGCCGCCATTGGCCAGCTCCGACTTCGATTCCGCCCCTTCCGCCTCTATCGCGTATATCCATTGGCTAAGGGAGGAGAAAGGCCCGCCCACTTCCGGGTTCCCTGACCTCATGGACTGTTACCCCTCCATGTCCCGCCTGTTCCGGCGTATGACAGATCGTCATTGGGTAGAGTCTCCTCGGGCCCCGCCCATATGAGCCATCGCTATTGGACAGACCTGGGTGTGCCCCGCCCCTCCCCGCGATACCACATCTCTATTGGCCACTGTGTCACCGGGCCTTGCCCCTTCCCCATGCCGCCTTCCCGTTGGCTGATTCCATAGGAGGCGAGGCGAGGCCAGGCCCAGGAGCTGCCCCTGATTGGTCGCCCCTCCAGAGGCGGGGCCCGAGGGAAGCAAGTTCGGTTGCTCGGTGCGGCCGCAAGGTCACGGCGCCGGCATGGTCTCGGCATGCACCGCGGCAGCCATGCGGCGTCACCATGTTGGAGGCGGAGCCAAACACCAGCCCCGCCCCCCGAGAGGTAGCGGTTTCCAGGCCCCCCCATAGGTATTGGGGGCGGGAGTGAGGGACCTGGATTCTAGTTTTCTTCCCAGAGGCTGGTAGTGACCAGTTCCCCCCCTTCCCCCTGGGAATGGCAGTGTCCAGTCCCGTCCCCCCCGGGAATGGCAGCGTCCAGGCTCTCCGCAGGGAATGGCCGTGTCCAGCTCCCCCACCCCTCCGGGAATGGCAGTGTCCAGCTCCCCCCACTCTCCGGGAATGGCAGTGTCCAGCTCCCCCCCCTCCGGGAATGGCAATGTCCAGCTCCCCCCACTCTCCAGGAATGGCAGTGTCCAGTCCCCCCCCCCCGGGAATGGCAGTGTCCAGCTCCCCTCCCCCCCTGGGAATGGCAGTGTCCAGTCCCCCCCCCCCCCCCCCGGGAACTGGCAGTGTCCGGCTCCCCTCCCCCCCTGGGAATGGCAGTGTCCAGTCCCCCCCCCCCCCCCCCGGGAACTGGCAGTGTCCGGCTCCCCTCCCCCCCTGGGAATGGCAG